AAGTGTCGTGTAAGTAAGTGTTTACAAATCTGTAGTAATAATTTCATTTGATGAGGGAGAAATTACTTATATTTCTACATATTACGAGATAAACTCGAATACAATGAGATCGTCGTCGTCACAGAAATAAAATAAATAAGTGTTCTAATAGGTTTTCTGTTGGGAGATTTAATCTTAAGCTATTATTATCAAACCCATGATTTATAAGACGACAAATTAAATAAAAAACAAGATATAAAATTGTACTAAACAGCTAATAATATTGTTTGTTTGAGTTAAATTATAATCTTAAACACAAGTAAAAAAAAAGAAAAATATGATTTATTATCAAATTTACGATCTGTTTGGGAAAATGGGGTCAGGTATTGTTGCAGGAAATTATTCGCGACGACAGTCGACCAGAAGCTTCTATTCATTTATATATTTTTTTTTCCTTCCTTTTTTTTAACACTTTCATTTCGACTAAGGTTCACTTTCGCGTCACACCAGGATAACGAAATTTGAATAATAATGCTCTATTGATTTCTTTCACTTTCGAGCTCGACGTACGGAGGAAAATAATCACTCGCTTCTCTTTCATTGTTTCCAGAACAGTCCGAAACAATAGAAAAAGAGTTGGCAACGGTGTTGCTGCACTTTCTCGGCATTCTTTATTTGTTCTCATCCTTAATAATTGCTACCGTTACCTATAAGTCTTCGGATTAGTTTGGGAGATATTAAGAGGGTGGAGCCATATCTGCCGAACCAAAGGTCCTATTTTTTTGAAAATTTCTACAAATATTTCCCTCTAATACATAAATTTTTCTGCAAAATTTCAGAAATTTTTGACTAAAGACGCGGGAGTTATTGAGGTTCAAAATGGGTGAAAAAATCGTGCCCCTCACACATACATACTTTTTTCTTTACATTTCAAGATTCCCCGAGTCAAAAAGTTTAATAATTTTGGGGACCATTTTTTGATTTGTTACCATAATTTCCCTTTATTATATAACAGCCACATAATTACATATATTTGTTGGATCTAAAATACAGTAAAACCTGTCCAAAACGGAAACCTGTCTAAACAGGAAAAATCTTCGGAACGGAGAAATTCAAGCTTTACTCGGGTTTTACTGTTTACATAAACTAAAATCTTAACGTTGTAAAAAAATAATAATAATAATTTACGTCACACTTACGAGGTAAATTTTCGAACGTCATCGGACACTAACGAGGTGTGACGCATCGGTTACGCTTCTATTGTTAATATACATCACGAATATGTTTTTCTATTGTCATCTAACTCGTGAAATTTATTAAATCGTGTCCAGTTCGTGCCGTTTTTTTTTATTTTTCACAATAATTTCCTGGTCTTTAACATTATCTTTTGCCTGTTTAAAAATTAAAATAACGTCACACCTTCAAAGAAGGGTGGTTAAAACCAAATTTAATACGGAGAGTTTATTTAAATCGCGAAATTCAAAGGATCTACAGCATAAAACTGAACTTACAGTTGGTGACGCCAAAAGACCGTAATGGTTCTTTGTATTTTATACTATAGAAAAATAACACTTTTCTATAGTATAAAATACAAAGAACCATTACGCTTTATATTCTATTCTATAAGAATTCTATATACAAAATTCTATAAAGAATTCTATTGTGGCAAATATATATTTATTCGTAATTACAACGGCTCAAAGATTTTTTTTTTGTATGTCAAGTATTTCATAACTCATCAGAATAACCTATTTTTCGATCATTTCCAGAGAGAAAATGGTCGCCTAATCAATGTAATAAATATAATTGTGTCTATAATTAAGCCCCGAGGTACACATACGAGGCAATTATTGGATCGGAGAGTTAATACCAATATTAACTTCCATTTCGTAGTTGGCCTCAGGGAAGAACGAGAGAAAACACGACAACAGGAGTAAGTAATTATTTCAAAAATAGATTTTGAGACATTCTTTTAAATTTAGATACTTTAATACAGTAGCATTCCTCCCTTAAGAGCGTGTAAAAATTTCTAAATTGTTTCCTTTTGGGCCACCCTTTAAAAAGGGTGGCCCAAAAGTCGGTTAAAGGCGTTCGTACTCCTGCTCTTTCGTAAGTAGTTAAGTATTCGAACACCTTAAATTTAGTCCTTACAACGGTTAACTAATATTTGGGCCAAATTATAGTTTAAGTAATAATTAACGACACAATATAACGCTTAAATTTTCTTTTGTTTAACGTCGACATCTATTAGGATCGTAAAATACATCAGAAAAATAATATATAATTCAAGTATTATAATAACAAAATAGATATAAAGTAAACAATATGAAAAAATATATCAAAATATCTTAATTATTCACTTTGTTTCATATTGTACGTAATTAAAACACGAGTTTTTTGTGTGCTTTTGATATCCCGAAATAACACCTAAATTACGTGTGTTAACTAAAGTTAATTATAATTATTGAAATATTTTTAGTTTTTGAGTTAGGTCTCCCCCATTGGGTACAGTCGACCCCTCTATAACACTGCTGATAATTCCGTTTTATATGAATTCCACGTTGTACGAGTCACTTAGATTTTACAAATACGTGTGCCGGGCTGTGAACGGCTCACGTATTTGTAAAATCTAAGTGACTCTTACAACATGGAATTCATATAAAACGGAATTATCAATAGTGTTATAGGGGTGGTCGACTGTATTTAATATTGTAATTTATTCATCAGAAACGTTTTTATTAAATAAATACACAAATAAGAACTTCTCTACGACGGAAATTACGAATTTTACGAGCATTTCTAAACACGCAACCCGACTGAAAAACTTGTAATATGAGGAATTACGAGTGTAACTTTATTTCCCTGTTTTAATGACAAATTACAATTTACCTGCACAGAGAGCGGTTACTTACCCGACTTTAGTTTCAACTTTTGTCAAACAAGAAAAAAATCTTCAAATTATTACGTCTTAAAATTATATAAATGATCATTTAGGATGTGGGTCACCACGTATAAATTAATACGTTCATTTCGATTGCCATATTATTAATTATTTATAATGATATTACACAAAATGTAGCTTGAGTAGTTTGCGTGAAGCACGTGTTAATTAATAGTTTAATCATAATTACGTTTTAAAATAGAAGGCCCTACACGCGTCGAAAAGTCACTCTTATAGCTACAATACTAATTAAATTTATAAATTATGTATAAAAATTAAGGTATATTATTTTATATAGAACTGCTCCATATCTTTAGAGGAAATTTATAAAGTTTTTTAACCCAGTATATAATGTCAAGGTCATACAAACTGGGTAGGGTGACGATGATAACGATACTGACCAAACTACATTTCGTTGACCCTGACATTCACTGAATCGTGATGAATTCTTAATGACTGACCATTTTCATATAAATTGTAAAATTATATAAAAAGTGAGAAGCAAATTGCTCAATTATATCATCGACTTAAATATGAAAATACAGTTCAGTAGGTTACTTCCATCTTTTGTTCGTGACAATCTCTTTGTTCTGGTATTGATAATTGGTAAAACATTCCTTTTCTTCTTTATTAAACCAAATATAATTCGTTGGACTAAATTATTACACGAAAACTACAGTAAAAACTTGTGTAAACCGGATTTGCCAGGTTCCGTTTTAGACGGGTGATTTAATTCTTTTGCAAAAAAAACAAGGTGGAAATGTAAGAAAATTTTAATGAACATTTAATATATTGGTATAAGGAAGGAAAAATTAAATACCTTTTATTATTTTAGTCATAAAGATCCTTTAGAAAATGATCTAATCGACGACTGGATTTAAACTTGTTATGCCCTAAGTCATAACACGTAGAAGGCCTTTCCTCTTCCACCAAATAATAATAAATTTAAAAGTGCGAGGCCCTAAATGTAGCCTCTTTATCTCTCCAGCCTTAAGCTGTAGCTTATTTATGTGTAAAGCAAGTTTATCCTTCGAAATTTTTACTGTAGAAACTATATTTTTACAACGTTTAATAGTTGTGTATCTTGAGAAAGGTTTCTCTAGATTTTTTAAATAAAAAAAAATTAAATTCTAAAATGCTCAATTTACTAATTATTTTTTCCTTCTATTTACGTATTTTTAATGTACAGTAAACCTATCTAAAACGGAAACTTGCCTAAACCGATAAAAATATTCGCTATAGTGCGATTTCGGGTTACACAGGTTTTACTGTATTATCTTACTGGAAAGCGTTAAATTCCGATTAAATCGACGAATTTAATATATGCAAAACACTGCTTTTACTAGTATTACAAAAGTGAATCCTCCCCGTTCTAATTTTGCTTATCAAAATTTCTTTTCATCACCGTAAGAAATAGAGAAGGTGACCAGGTTGATCTAGAATACAGAAGATTGGAGGAAACGTTAGGAGGTGACCCACATTCTGTCCTTGAATTATACATCCTAACCTCTTTCCTCAGCTGACCTCGTCTCGATTAGCCTATGGTTCAACTTCTGAAAGTATATAAGACGGAGAATTTCTATACCTAACTATCTCCGATGAAAACCATAGAATGATACAGTTGCATTGAAGACATTAATGATGAAGGTGAGCTTCTTACAGTGGGCTTTATTTATATAATTTTAAATTATATTTTTATATTTTCTAATAAAGTATATAATTTATAAAATTATTTCTAGATTATAGACGTTCTCGAGTTATTTATTGTAGTCAACGTAGTTAGCGGTTATGGTACTTTCCATTATTCTAAACCGTCGAATGCCCCTCCGCCATCCAGAGCATCACTCGAAAGAAAGGAAATCTTTCATCTTCCTCCCGTTAAAACTCATTTATCTAAAGCGGTAGTTGTGCGTGTTCCGGTCCACAAACAAGAACAAGTTTACTCTTCTAAACCTTCTAAAGGAAGTAAGGAAGAAGAGAGACTGGTAATTGTAGTTCCGGTTCCTAGAGTTGGGGGAGAAAGAATTTACGAAGATTTAGAATTAAAAGAAATAAGATATAGAAAGAAAGAAGAAAGTGACTCGAGAAATCAACAACACAATCGTTACGAGTCTCAGATGTCTTCTGTAAGAGACAGAGCTCCCACTTTCAATGCACCTTCTAGAATTAATGCATTTAATTCTCAACACGCGCAGTCAAATAATCAGGTACGATTGTTTCGATTTTTAAATCACGTCGTTATTAAATTATGTTATTGAGTTTTATAATTTAATTTTTAATTGCAGCAAGCCGCTCAGAATGTAAGTTATAGACCCGAACAGTTTCCTCAACCTCAAACGTCGGTGTTTGTAGAAAATCAACAGACAAGACCTTCGGGGGATAGGGAAATGAATGAAAATCGTTTTGCTCCCCAACAGCCAGTCGATTTCAGGCCTGCAGAAAATCCCAAACCCGAAAAAGGCACCAATCAGCCAAGTCAGTATCCTATTTCTTACACTACTAAAGATTACGTTCGATATTCTTCTCCATTTTCCACCTACGAATCTCGGAAAGTCGGTGATTTTGCCCGATCTCAACAAAATTTTGGCTTGGCCAATAAGAATGCTAATTACAGAACCGAATTTCGTACGAATGCGCACAATGTTTTTAGTTCCGTAGTTAGAACGAGTACCGAAACCCCGTATATAAATAAGAAACCAATTTCTACCGGAGATAACGCCGCTACCACGGGATATTCCACTCCCTTATTTAAAGAAGCAGAACGGCCCTCTAGCTCAGGGGTAACTAATTACGGGCCTCAAAAAATGAAGTCGATAAAAAAGCAAGAGAGTAAAAAAATCCCAGTGCTCTTGATTACTTTACCTCATCGTAAAAAGGCAAAAACCGAGCCAACCAAAATTCAATACGATGCGTGGAAACCGATGACCAAGGAAACTGATTATAACGTACCGAAACCTCCCATACAGCAACCCGTGCCATATTCTAATAATCAGGAAATTAGTCAAATGAATCAAGCGGAAAGAGTTAAGTTTTTCCCTCAAACTAATGTTAATTTTAGCCCGATTACCGAAGCTCCTTACGGCCATTCCAACTCTAATTTTAATAATCACGAATCTCAGCAGGGCAATCAATTCGTTCAGCAATCACAAAATACAGAACAACCTCATCTACAGAATCCCGAACCTAGACAACCAGTTAATCAGGTTCCGACAGATCAAACCATTTCTCAGTTCGATCATCCCTTACCCGAAAACCATGGCAATTTTAATCAGAATCCTATTCCACCTCCGCAACAGGTTCAACAGAATAATTACAATGGAAAGGATAACTTTAATCAGCCTCCGGTGCATAATCAGCAACAGAATTTTCAAAATCCAGAATATAGACAGCCAATTAATCCTATAATTTCTGATTTTAGACCCATCCAGTTCGAATTTCCGGTGAACCGAGAGCCTGTTAATTTTAACCGAGAACCCGTTAATTTTAACCGAGAACCCGTTAATTTTAACCGAGAACCCGTTAATTTTAACCAAAATCCCGTTGAACCACCTCGACAGATTACTATCGAACCACCCAGTCCTCAACAGAATAATTATAACGAGAACGGTCCAGAATACGAACGTACTCCAGAACCTAATCAAGCAGAAAATTTTCAAAATTCAGGACCCAGACAATTAATGAATCATCCTTACACCAGACAAGAAAACGTACAAATAGAAATCGAGAAACCAACACAGTTCATGTCCGTAAATCAGATAGCAAACTTCAATCAAGAACAATTCGAGAAAAATAAGTTCCAGAATTACGGCTCGAACACTCCCGATATTCGTCCTCCTTCCCCTCCTCCAGAAGAATTTAATAATCAAGAAATTCCTGCACCTAATCAAGGGCAAGGTTTTCAAAATCAGGAATACGAACAAGCGGTGGGTCAATCCTTTCCTACTCCGGAAAAATCCCAATTTCGTTTAGAACCCGTGCCAATTCCTATTGCTCAGATCCAAACAAACTTTAATCCGGTTCAGAACGACCAACGCAATTATAATCGACCAAATTTACAGGAAAATCCCTCCACCCAACAAGAGAATTTCCAAAAACAGGAAGAGGAAACGAGAAACACGGAAGAACATAAAGAACCAAAAGATTCGGAAGGACTTTTATTGGTGTTAGTTTCTACCAAACAACACAAAGAAGACCAAGATCTAAAGAAACAACAGGAGGAGACTGGTCAATACAGGGAAAATTCGAACGTTCAACACCCTGCCGACATGAATTACTCCCCTTCCGATCGCACAAGTGTCGTATCCTTTACCAAAACTAATGATTATCAAACGGGCTATTCTATAGTCTATTGATATATCCGAGGATTAATAAATATTGTAAATAGTTATCGATGTTGTGATTAGTTCAATATTATACTCACATTTTTGTATCTTGTGTTAGATGTGCGAGTGCCAAGTTGTATCGAAACGAGTTGTAGAAAATTGGAATTTAACACGTAAAAGATGGTTAATAAATTGTTTTTCTGAGCATGATTGTCTGCCATTATTTTAAATTATCAAATACACGCGGTAATAATTTACAAATTAAATATTTTTACGTTGTAGCGTGATAACTCGCACCGCAATTATCGGTGTAGCGAAGGTAAGTGTTTACACCCCACTGAAAGAAATCTATAATCAATTATTGATGGCGCCAACCTTCCGCCCTGGTGAATCCGGGTTCGAATCTGGGTCAACTCAGCAATTTTCACAAGTTATCGACCCGGATAATATAGGGCCTCGTCCCACGCCGCCTCTACTGTAGGCCCAAACTTGCCTATTACGGACGTAAAAAATATGATTTTTAAGTACCCGAAAGGCGGAAAAAGTATTACAAAATAGCCTCGATCGGTGGTAATTTATCTTTAAAATCTCTTATGAATTGTAACATTAAATTTTAAAATAATTTTTTTCGATTATATCAGATAATAAAATCATAATTTTAATTTAGTAACGTCAGAAGAAATGACGACTAACAAATAGATAAGAGAGGAATACATTATGCCTTATTCTCAATAATTACATAAATAGAAGTTCTAATACTTAATTATAATTATTTATTTAAGTCTGTAAGTTAATTTTGTGACTTTAAGAAGTACTGTACCTGTCATAAATTTAAAATAATGTGTTCTTAATACGATAGATGGCGGAACGTGTCTCGTACGATCAGTCGATAGATCTACTAATAGCAGTAATGCTACTATACTGGTTTAATAAATATTTCTGTCACTTCGAGCGCTTCGATCGCGTATAGTCCTAAGTTTGGATGGAGTGTAGGCAGAGTCAGCTGTAAATATTCGAAATTCTTTTAATATATGGCATTTTCTCGTTTTTAACTCAGATATTTCTTTTGTCTTTTTTAAAGGACTGCTTATAAATACTATTTTAATTCGGTTTTGAACATTATTTATTCGTAAATGTTTAATATTTATATTTCTGTTAACTGTCACGATTTTAAACTTTAAATTGATTAGATTGTTTTTTTTCTTACAATTTGTGTTCATTTTTAAATATTTTTGAAAGTTTTTCTTAAAGGCAAGGAAATGTTGTCAAAAAAATTTATAGTTAAGCCTGTATATACATTATTAATATAGGATGCCTTCGGGATTCACGAGAAGTCTCTGAATCAGGAAGAAAAGGGGATGATGAGAATTATATATATTTAATTATGGAAATGTATAGAAATGTTAAACCATGTGTTAAGATAGGATAGATTTAAAGTGTTACAAAAAAGAGATTTGGGATTTAGGTGGCTTTGGAGTTTATCGAGGTTAAGCTCATATCTTTATTTATTTATTAATATTAGATGAATTATTGCAGTTTGCAGTGAGAAAAGAGCTATGATATATGTTATTCACAATTTATATTGTATTTATTAATTTAATGAGATGGAAAGAGATTAAAGTTGAGCGAAAAATGTTAGGAACAGGTTAACAGACCTCAGACAGCCATTCTTTTAGAAAATCAGTCCTCCAGGCAGTCGCCAACGTCAGTTTTTCCTCCCCGGCGGTCATCATTGACCTAGCTGCTTCAATCAGCTCACATCCCACGCCCCTCGAAATCGGGAGGACCCCGAGACACGTTGGCACCCACATTAATGGAGCAGCCGACCAGGCAGCGATCCACGACATTCCCACCGGCTCTTGGTGGCGGCCTCTCATGGCACGTGACCTCATCCGTAATATGCGGGAATCGATTACCCGCACCTACAATGACACCAGGTCCACTATTCTCTGGAGAAAAGGTCACGACTATCTCCGACCTTTGCCCCTGGATGTATCAACACGCATCGTTACGTCACGCTTAAACTCTTCTGGCCCGTCTTCGCACTGATACGACCCTGTTGAACGGGTTCCTTCACTCACGACGCCTGACTGTCCTCCTCACTGTGGCTCGCCAGAAACTTTATTTCATTATTGGCTTGTTTGCCAGCAGTACGCGGGGGCTCGTCAAGAATTGGGTCGATCCTTGACTTTAATCTCACAATCGTCCAAACTTTAACGCCTATATACTGGCCATGAGACGACCTCCCTCCACGTCAACACCAACACATGGAGGCCTTGGAACGATTTGTGTGCCGCTCTAACCGCTTCGCCTAATAACTAAGTGGTGCGCTTCGGAGAAAAAGCAAACAGGCTAGAATCTCTATATGAAACAACGAAAGAAAGGAAGAAAGAAAAGAAAGAAAGAATGGTTTTTCATTTTTAGCAATGCAGCATGATGCCGAAAAACTTGATGTATTGATTTCATTGTCTCTTTTCACAAAATTTTTAAGGAGTTTGTTTGATGTCCGCAGTTGTGAACCTTCAGTCTTAAATATTCTTTCTTTTCATCTGCAATTTAAATGAGATAATTTTTCCTCGTGTTTAGTATCGTAATGTCTCATAACACTTGAAGTACAGTACGTGCTACAATTGTTTTTAAACACAAACAGGTTACTTTTTCTCCTTGTTTAATTAAACCATAATTTATTTTCAAATCCTCCCGAAATAGTCAAATTCTTTTTGGTTTGGACATTATTTTGGTTAAAAAAAATATTTACCAAATATTGTAATAAAATTCTAATTTTTTTTTTATGTGTTGACTTGGTTGTCGCCAAATATACTAACACAGTCCAATGGTAGCTTTACTCGCACCGCAATTATCGGTGTAGCGAAGGTAAAAGTGTTTACACCCCACTGAAAGAAATCTATAATCAATTATTGATGGCGCCAACCTTCCGCNAACCATAATTTATTTTCAAATCCTCCCGAAATAGTCAAATTCTTTTTGGTTTGGACATTATTTTGGTTAAAAAAAATATTTACCAAATATTGTAATAAAATTCTAAATTTTTTTTTATGTGTTGACTTGGTTGTCGCCAAATATACTAACACAGTCCAATGGTAGCTTTAATATACCGTACTTACAAATTTTTAACAACTTGTAACTTTCGCGGCGTGCCACTCAAAATTCTTCCGCGTGACACCTAGTGGCGCGCGTGGCATAGTGTTTAAAAAATTATTAAAAAATTATCAATTCGTGCTTATATGTTAAAAATTTAAATTATATAAGCAAAGCAATTTTAGTTATAGAATATTTATCGTGTTTATTATTTACAGAATTGTTTATAATCAATATTAACGTTACTGTTTAGATGTCATTAGAGAGGTTGCGGCAGTCGTAGGACCTTGGTCGCTACGTCTAGCGTGGCGAGTAGACGATCGGCTTAAACTTCATTTTTTGTGTTTGGGGTTAAAATTATGACCTATTTTATTAAAATAATGATTATTTAAGCACTTACGAATAATATTGTAAAGAAGCAGACGATTTTAATCCAGAAATTATTTAATTATTCGGTTAAAGTCCAGATGCGTGTACCGTCATGGCGGCTCATCTGATTCCAGCAAACGAAAGAAACAGTGGGGACGCACGTTCTAACCTAACCTAACCTATTCTAATAAATTACCATAATTATTACCAACCAAATTATTAGAATAGGTTAGGTTAGGTTAGGTTAGAACGTGCGTCCCCACATTTGCTGGAATCAGAGATGAGCCGCCATGACGGTATACGTATCTGGACTTTAACCAAATATTCAATTTTTTAGCAAGTGATGCGAAGTGCCTATAGAATTTACATATATTTGCCTTCGTAATAGCTTATCTTAAGGTAGGTTTGTTCTTCCACGGCATCTTTTACAATCAACAGCGTAATACGCTTGTAAATTTTCTAAAAATTAATTTTCCGAATTTACATAAGCCACTACTTCCCTCCACAAAAGTACGAGATAGTCCGATCGTACGGTAGGAGACACCACACTAATTAAAAATAATTATTTAGTGTTATTAAACATCCTATAAATACTTTAATTTGTTTATTTACCTTCGCTGGTAACATTCGTTGTCAAATGGTTCCGCCATTTTTTCAACAAATTTCCCGTGAGTCGATGCGCGACGTTCGCCGAGTCACATGATATTTTGAACGTCCGCTGTAACGATTTTTTTGTATTTCTGCTTGCCGTGTACGAGTAACGTTTGGACTTGGGCCGCAACCTCTCTGTTAACTTTCTAACTGGTTTCCTTTATTTTAATTTATCATTTCTAATTTTGCAATAATTATTTATTAATATGTTGGACATGATTTCGATACAACATTTCATCAATTGAATTTTATCTTTCTTACAATTGCAAATATTGTTTTGAAAGCAAAATTCATTATTTTCAACTAATTTATTCATTACTAAGCTCACGAAAGTTTTTTTCCATTTTTAGTGCCAAAAATTCGCATTCGTAATCATTCAGAATGGTCTGAAATATCTTAAAGGTATTTATGCATATTACAACAACAAATTCTTGTGACCATTTTAAACCCCTCTGTCAATTATCTTCAGATATTTTGCCAAATCATCATCTAAGCATTCATAACTCCAGTGGAGAATCATACTCTAGTAATAATTTATATTGTTCACAAGTTTTCTTAATTACTGAATATGCAAGATATTCTGCAGTGTAAATCAGAATCGACGTGTTCTGTCCTGTAATAATATCATCAGAGTTTTCTATTATGCCTTCAAATGCTTCTTCAACATCGAAATCAAATTTATCCAACTCTGCAATATTTTAGCACAAGATTCAAGAAATGCTCTAATTTGAAAATTCCCAATTTTGGAAGATTTCATATTTAGCTGGCTTATTAATTCACAGTTTTCTTTCTGATTCAATAATTTCAGAAACAGAAATATGATAGTTACTTCCTGACATCTGTCTATAGTTAGACGGCCTTGCCTAGACCATCTTGCCGTCATTAAATAAATTAGTAACATTTTTGAATAA